CATAGGAAAGTTCATTGCCCGGAAAATCACAAGACGTTGCCCAGTTACTTTCATTCCATTGCACGATTGGATTCGAGACTTTCTGCTCCATATTTACTACACCACAAATTGCATCTGAATCATAGATTCGATACGCATCAGCTTTCGAAACATTATTCGTTTTCATCCAACAAGTACCACCATTGTATAGATTCCATGTGTAATGTGTACATCTCAATATTTGAGTACATTTTTTGGAACACAATTCTGATGAACTAGGAATGTTAAAAAGTTCGTTTCCATTAAAATCACAAGATAAAGCCCAATTGTTTTCATTCCACTGTACAATTAGATTTGATACTTTCTGCTGTGCATTCAATATACCACAAATTGCATTTGAATCATTAGTTAAATATGCATCACTTTTTGAAACATTATTTGTTTTCATCCAACACGTACCACCATTGTATAGATTCCATGTATAATGTGTACATCCAGATGTTGCAAAACATTTGTTCTCACAATCATCTGATAAGGTTAAAACATGAGAGATATCATTTCCACTGAAATCACAAGATAAAGCCCAGTTATTTTCATTCCACATAATAGTCGAATTTTGATCGTAATGTTGATGACTACTGTTTATTATGCCACAAATCATAGTTGGATGATCAGTTAAAATAGCGTCAGCTTTCGAAACATTGTTCGTTTTCATCCAACATGTTCCCTTATTCCATGTGCTCCAAACATAATGAGTACATCCTTGTGTCTGAATACATTTTGCACTACAGAATTTTGAGGCAATAAGTGCATAGGAAAGTTCATTGCCCGGAAAATCACAAGACGTTGCCCAGTTAGTTCCGTTCCAGTTAATCGTGACAGGTTCTAATTTAAGAAAGTTAAGAATATTTCACAGTAAGATTATAAAAAAAAGAATTAATTATTCTGTTGTATATACTCTAACGTTCTATTTTACTATGTTTGTCGTTCAAGAAAACTACTCTACTAGATGTAAATCGACTAGCTTTGTAACACTAACTTTACACACTTCATAGCTTGAGAATAGTGATTACACTTTCGTACAGATCAACATCAACATCATCTCAGTTCTACCATAGAAGATATTGCAACTACATCAAAACTTAGATAAATTTCCTCAAACCTTTCAAAACAATTTTAGATCGAATGAAATTATACCGATGAGATTGTTACTGAATGATTACAAATGAAATAAGAAAATATACCGTATAAAAAACACAACATATCCCGTGGCGGGCCGGCACCTTAAGTTGAGGTATGGTAATAGCTCTATGTTTTACGCTAAGGTGTGACAATAAAGCATAATATTTTATCATCATATAAATTTATAGCTATATATATATATATATATATATATATATGCTACGAAGATATTGTCAGGTGTGACAACTGCCACTGGCCGGCCCGACACTGAATATATATATTAATATGTTTTCATTCGTATATATATTTTACTAGAAGAGATTCTCATTTATTAAAAAAATATTAAAAATCATACTTGATCTTTTAGTACTTAATTTTGATGCTAGAATAACGCTGATAATAATTGCCATGATCGATATCATTATCAGTACAATGATTGATATAAGAAAAGTTTTTTTAGTATACCATCGACGATTTAATTTTCTAATAAAAAGTTTTATTAAAAATTCAGTTTTAATATATATTCATTAGAAATCTCCAGATTCTCTTTTTATTTGAAACACACATTGTTAGGTTTTTCAATATTTTTATTGAACACATAATTGAGAAAATCTGATAAATTGAAGATCATAGGAAAAATAGTTTTCATATTATTTTTTCAAAATTAATTCTTTGTTTTGTAAAATTTAGAATTTTGTGAAAATAAAATACGTCTCTATGAGCTAGACTATATAAATGAGCATTGATAGGGATCCAAATTTGTTAAATTTCAAAAGGATGTCTTAGAAATTAGGGAGTTAATGAATAGTATTAAATGATTTTTCAATAGTTTCTTACAATATTTCAAAGAAATTTAATAATAATTCGTAAGAATAATTACATTTTCTAAAAGTAATATTTTAAAAAATAATAAAATATTTTTCAGATGAGTCTGATTATTTCTGATAAATATATGATATTAGATGAAGTTAAATAAAAACTTACTGGATTTTTTGGATAAAGAGGTGCATCTAAGAATAGAAATATATTAATTCAAAATAAAACTATTTATTATGTTAAGTTTACTTTCAAATGGAGGTTCTAATAATATTTCATTTGGTCGTACTTGTTTTAAATGAATAATATATAGATCAGTTGCTGGATTCAATTGTGATTGTACTTCCAAATATGTTCCTGGCAATAATATTATTTCTTCTTCTTCTTCATTAAAATATGAATGAGCACGTATATTTCTACCATTGAATGTTTCAATAGAAAATAAAGTTCTATATCCTGTTTTGCCTAAATAGATATCACTTTCAAGTACACTTAATGACGCTATAGTTGATGAAAATCCCCACCAAATTAATTGAGTTTCTTCAAGAAGATCAATATTGATATTCTTTCATACACCACGCCATACAACTTGTGGAGGTATACATGGTAATTTATCTATGACAGTAAGAAAAAGTTTAAGATATTTAAACCAAGGAGATAAAGATTTTCGATCTTCCTTTTTAAGTAGTCGATTAAGATATGAATAGAGACTTCTATGTGAATCTTACCATTCCATTGTATAGAGACGAATCGAAGCTGATTCATCACGAGTCAAATTATCTGGTGGTTGATCTGGAGTACGTTCTAGGGCAATTGAAACAAAGTTCAATACATCAGGAATAATATTAATTAATGGTGCACATGCATCATAGAGTGGAAGCAGTGGTTCTTGAGAGTATCCAATAATAGGATCGAGTACTTTTTGATTTTCAGTGTCTTTGATTAATAAACGAGAATTTTTACGTCGAACAACTAATTCACTGTTATTTTTTGTTTTATCATAATCTTGATTTTTTGACCAAAGATTTATTTTTTTCAACATTTTTAAGATACTTGTTATTATCTCAAAACAACAAATAAGTAGATGAAACAAAAATAAATGATATAATTCTTACTAAATTAGAAGAAGATTAAAGAAATGTTAACCCATGTCATGATAAATAATGTTTTACATACGTAATAACGTGATTTTACCTGTAAATGCTATAATTAAAAACAACAGTTAGTTATTATTTACTATTTTTAAACAGGTAAAATGAATAATTTAATTCATGGATTTAAAATCCATATACTTACTTTTTTAATTTTAGTTCAAATGTCGGATATATTCTTTAATATAAAAGTATAGTAAAAAGAATATTTATAACGATGTGTACAAGAAGAGAAAGGAGAACGAAATAAATCAAGCGATAATATGTGTGCGAAAAGTACAATATTTACAAACTTCAACGCTTACGTATAACCAAAAATCACGTAGAAACGTATCAAAACATTTTACTATCAGATACAGTTTGATGCATAAAAGTTATTATTATAATACATTCATTGGTCTATAGCTGTTATATCTTAGATTTATTTTTCTATATTTAACAAATCTTATTTTTCAACATATGATTAAGAAAAATTTTCGATCGATAGACAATTGCATTTCTTCATAGTCGAAAGTAAACTTTGTAAAAGCATAGCATTAGACTAATGCACATGTTTCTTTTTTTATTCTTTTGTTCACACTGAAGTCATTGAAGCATATGAATATTGTTATGAATAGGTCGATGAAGATGATAAAGATTAGAGTAAGACTAATAAGAGAATATTTATACACCTAAATTTTATACTATATACAAAATGAAAGTTTCATCAAAGCGAATTACTAAATAATAAATCGATTGATATTTCTACTCTATAAAATCAAATATTTTATGTTTAATTTAGTTACCTGTTTATGATCATTATATTCTCAATTTACGGTAATTATAATGAATCTGAATGTAATTTTAGATGATTTTTATTTTGTGCTCTTTTCTTTGTTTAGAACAAATTTTCGTAATGATGATGTTCGAGCATTAAAACTGTGATTTATTAGCACAATTTATTTATCTTTCAGTTTCGAATATTATTAACTATTCTTATCATAACAATAAACTTGAAAAATTAATTTTCTTTGTTTGCTTATGAATATTTTTATTACCTAGATAAATCACTGACCATAGTTTCAATTTTATTTCGTAAGTCAAATATAGGAACATACGTACCTAGTTTTTATTTTTGATGAATTAAACAAGTATGTTTTTAAACGAGAAAAAAAATCAATTTTCATGTTATTTTAATTCATTATGTTATAGAGTAATTGAATGATAATTTGATTTACTCAGCATGTTTATACTAGCGGCAAACTTTTACTGAATTAAAGTGCTTCCCCTTTGATCAAAAGTATTTAGTATAAAAAAATGTAAAAATAAATGTCTTTGACAATTTATTGATCTTCAGCTTTAATATAATTCTTAGAATGTTTTCAAATTTCGATATGATCGAAATAATTTGTGACGAAAATGAATAAATGTCATGATAGGAATATCTTTCAAACAATTTGAACTAATTAGCATTACATAACATATGTAATTTTTCTAATATTCCTAATATTAACTTTCTAAGAAATTGAAAACTAATTTCAAATAATTGCAATAATTGATAATTTCTGATTAATTAAAAAACTTGCAATGTTAAACAAATCTTTTGATCTATATCCAATATACTTTATCAGTGTTGATAGCATGATGAAAATGTTATTTTTCTATTGTCTCGTATAATTCAGAGATGATATATAAGCTAAAGAAGGTATTTGAACTAAATAATAGTTTTTGTATTGAATTAGATTTAGAATTAAGAATTCCAATGG